TATTGTACCTTTCTTTGGTATGTTTCTTTGTAAGTGTACTCACGGCTGCAAAGAAGAAAACACAGCAACCTAGCAGCGCAGAGGAAGGTCCCACAAGCAGGAAATCTACTTAGATAATGATGGTGGTTAAGGGATAAATGTTGAGAGATCCCACCTCTTCATGTAGTTTCATGGGGTCTTTTGTGTTCAGCTGAGAGTGCAGGCCATCTTGGTATACCACCTAATGCAAAAGATGACACCTCTAACAGAGTAGTGCTCAGTCGAGTGTTAGCCAGGATCATGTGCTCCCATACCCAGTGGAGGACTATGAACCCTCAGTCTGCTGATTCAGTAGTGAGCCTTACCACGAAGACACAGCTAACTCTGAGACTGTTTGTGTGTGTGAGATAGTCCCTACAAAGCCTGGGGAAAACCCTAATTAATCTTCTAATGGAGCTTGGTTAAAGACAGAAAAAAACTGTAGATGCTGGAATCCAAGGTAGACACACAGGAGGCTGGAAGAACACAGCAGGCCAGGCAGCATCTGGAGGAAAATAGCAGTCAATATTTTGGGTGTTACCCTTCTTCAGGACAGAATGTGGGGGTAGGGGGAAGCTGCAGATATAAAGTGGGGGAAGGGGTGGAGGCAGAAAGGTGGTGATAGGTGGACACTGGTGGTAGGGACGACCTGGTTCGTCGATGGGAGGGATGGATCCGGTTGGTGGCTGGAACGGAGGGTCAGAAGGTGGATTGGAGGGAGGAAGTGGGGCTAGAAGTGGGGTGGGGTGTGGGTGGGAAGGTTATTTGAAATTGGAGAATCCAATGTTGAGTCTTCCAGGCTGGAGAGTGCCCAGGCGGAAGATAAGGTCTTGTTCTTCAAATCTAAGGTCTTGTTCTGAGTCGCTGTGACACTGTAAGAGGCTGAGGGCAGACATGTCGGAGGGGGAGTTGAAATGGGCGGTGACCGGGAGGCTAGGCTGGGCGTTACAGGCCAGGAGGAGATGCTCGGTGAAACGGTCACCTAGTCTACGTTTGGTCTCACCGATGTAGAGAAGACCACATCGGGAGCACCGGATGCAATAGACTAGGTTGGAGGAGATGCAGGAGAAGCTCTGTCTCACTTGGAAGGGCTGTTTAGGGCCTTGGACGAGGGTGAGGCAGCTGGTGTGTGGGCAGGTGTTGCATCTTTTACAGGTACAGGGGAAGGTACCGGACAGATTGGAATGGTTGGTGGGCCATGTGGTGCGAACTAAGGAGTGGCGAAGGGAATGGGCCTTGGCAGGGAGGGGTGGGGAGTGGAGACAAGACGGGAGAAGGTGTATCCACAGACTCTCATAACTACCTAGACTACACCTCCTCCCACCCTGTATCCTGCAAAAACTCCATCCTGTTTTCCCAATTCCTCCGTCTCCATCACATCTGCTCTGACAAGATGTTCCACTCCCAAGGATCCTGGAGAGCAGATGGGGGCTTTTAAGATTTCTTCTGACAGGTGGCACCTTGGATAGTGCAGCACTCCCTCAGTCCCAAGTGTGGGACCTGAAACTGGAACCTGTGTACTAACTGAACTACAGCTCGCACAGAAACCTATAGTGAGAGGAGTGTTGTACCAGCTAACAATACAATGTAATATTCTAAAGTTTAAAGGGTGCCTTAGGTGTAATTTAAGCTAACCTTTCTTTTGGCCACAGTATCTTACTGTTACAAATAGGCATTTTGGAAGATGATTAAGCTTTAGGACACATTCCTAGGATTAAAGGAGGCTGAGTAGATTGTCTGCCACTGCTGAAAGAGTTTTTCTGAACCTGAAAGAAAATAATCAGCAGAAAATGACTGGCACATTTTGTCTTTTTAAACATTTTGCTTTTGAAGTGTGATGCACATAATTAGATGGTTCTGGAAGGTGCTAACCTGTTCATTAAGGATCAGTTTCTCCTCGGTACTGAACCCAAGTGACATGTAAATGGTTCATATGGATAGAAACACAATATTGTTTATGCAACACACTTACACACACACACACACACAATGTCTATTCCACTGATTGATTGATTTATGGTCACGTGTCCCAAAATACAGTGAAAAGCTTTGTTTATGAGCAGTACAGGCAGACAGAGCAAGCAAAGAATGTACAAATCAAAAAGACTTAGAGGCATATAGGTTACAATGTGGTTACATTATTTGAGGTGAAAGTCCATTCATCAGTCTGATAATGGCTGCAAAGAAGCTGTTCCTGAAGCTGCTGGTGTGTGTGTTCAGGCTTCTGCCTGATGGAAGAGGTTGGAGGAGATCATTACCGGGGTGCGATGGGTCTTTGATGATGTTGGCCGCCTTTCTGCGGCAGTGAGCCATGTAAATAGAGTCCATGGATGGAAGGTTGGCTCCTGTGATGGTCTGGGCTGTGCACACCACCTTCTGTAGTTTCTTACGGTCCTGGGCACAGCAGTTGCCGTACCAGGCCGTTATGCACCTGGACAGTACACTTTCAATGGTACATCTGTAGAAGTTGGTGAGGGACCTAATGGACATGCCGAATTTCCTGAGCTGCCTGAGGAAGAAGAGGCGTTGTTGTGTCTTCTTGACTGTTGCATTTATGTGGGAAGTCCAGGACAGGTTGTAGGTTATTGTGCACGGCAGGGGCCACAGAGGAGTTTACAGCAATTTTCCCTCATCCAATGTCTGAGTTTGGTGCAGGGTTTGTAAAACTGTAAGACATTGTTCCAGTCTGTTACACTCACTTGAGTAATAAAGGCTTTCAAAAGCCCATTGCACACTTGAAAAAAAACACAGGAGGCAGAAAGAGCTGTGAGTTTTTGTCTCTCCTGAGTGCATGGAATTGCAGTACTATTATTATCTAAAATGGTATGAAGAGATGCCTGAGACCCAATGGAACAAATAATGGATATATTAATAAAGGTTAATTTGTATAGAATCACTATAAATATGGGGAGCCAGTAATCAGTGGGGATGATTTTTAAGGATTGTGGAGGACTGCTTATCTTGTAGTGTATACCACTGTCAATCTCTGAACAAGATGAACAAAAAACATCTATAACACTCACAACATATTGGTAGAAACTAAGTCACAGCAAATATCAAATTCCAGACTGTCATTTTCTCAGCTCGGAGATAGGCCCAGATTCATTCTCAGCCAAGCGCAGCAAGAAGCATCCATGAACCAATTTTTAGCATCAAAACTTGATGTGTGAGACTGATGATACACTCACCCTCCACCTTCACCTACAGACCATTGGTCTCAGGGAATATTAAACAGGCTCATAGCCAGCCCCAGTCTCCATCTATAAAACTAAACTGAATTGCTGCAGCATTTCCTGAATATCGCCATCTAACAAATTCATGTAACTGCATTTTTGAAACAAAATTGTGCTTTTGTGCCAATAGAACAGAGAACAGTACAGGCCCTGAATGCTGCCACTTTAAAAAGGTTATTTTATCCTTGGTTTTTTGAAGAGAGGTTGTAAGGGCAGAGGTTTCCAGCCTGAGTCAAAAATTTAAGAGGCCTTTAGGCTTTTTTTAAAAAGGAGTTGTAACAATAGAAGGTGTGTGGCCAGTTCTCCCAGATCAGGTTTTTTAGTTTTTTTTTAAGCTGTAGCAGTCGAAGCTGTTTGGGTTCCAGAAGGATTGGAAGCTTCAGTAAATAATTCCTAACTGTGACGTTCTCAGAGATCTCTCTTCTTGTTGTCCCCTCCTAGACTGGGAAACCACAAGGTAAGAATCTGTGTTTGAATTTACCTTTTTGCCAAGGGGTGTGCTTATGGGATGTTACTATATTGGAACAGTTAATTAGTAATAGGTGCTGTATCCATTATTTGGTTAGGTTTTCCACTAGTAAGTTATTCTAAATTCCTCTTTCTTCTCTTTGTATTTTAACTATAGTGTTTAAATAAATCATGTTTTGCTTAATGTCCAGTAGTTTGATCACTTGCATCACATCTGGAACAAGCATTTCACATCTACCTTCAAAATAAGGGAAAAGTTAGGGTCTAGGCTACCTTCTTAAAATATTGAGGGGGGAATCTAGTCTGATCCATAACACTTTGCAAATTTTTAATGAAACAACTTGTACAATGTTCAGACCCTTGGTAATTCGTCTTCAAATCACTTTGAGCATACAGGCATATGGGCACGGGAATTAGGAGCAGGAGTAGGCCAGTCATCCCCTCATGCCTGCTTGTTGGTCTAGAGGTATAATGCATTTTAATTCACTTTGCAGTGAATTAGTAGGTGAGAGATCATGGGTTCAAATCCGCTGCAAGATCAGGGTTCAAGTCCCTTCTGCTCCAGAGGAGTGCCCTAACACCCCTCAACAGGTTACTGAAAATATCTGTTCTAAACATCTGAAGAGGTGAGTAGTGGCAGCACGTGACTTAAGACCAGATAAACGCAGAAGTAGACAATTCATATGTGAATAAAAGCAAAATGCAGAGGATGCTGGAAATCTGAAACAAACGGAGAATGCTGGAGAAACTCAGCAGATCTAGCAGCATCGATGGAGAGGAGTTAACGTTTCGAGTCCGGCGTTTCAGGACTCTTCCGTGAAAATAAAACAAAGAACCGCGATTGCTGGAGATCTGGAACACACAGGAATAGAAGTTGTTGGCGAAACTCGGCAGGTCTAGCAGCATCTGTGAAGCGAGAAAACAGAGTTAACATTTCGAGTTCAGTGAGACCGTTTTTCAGAGATGCTGCGGGACCTGACGAATTTCTCCAGCAATTTCTGTCTCGTGGCTTGGTGTCAAATTTTGTTTGATAATCCGCCTCCCTGCGAGGAACCTTGGGACTTTCAAACAGCAGAACCACGTCAGAGACAAACATGTCACCTTTCGAAGACCGGCTGCCGTGTCGTAAACGAAAAGGAAAACTCCTAACACGTTACCCACTTCCCAATCAGCAAGCAAATAATTTCTGGGGATTGATCTCACGCCTTTGTATCTGACCCTATCAGACCCTCAGCCTGAGCTCGTCCTCCTTTCTGTCAGGCAGCTGTTTGGAACATTCGCACAGCGATTGGTTACAGGGGTTGCCTGTCAACCTATTGTGACGTCCGCGCTGGTGGAGCGCGGTGTAGCGAGTTTTCTGTCAGTTTCAGATTGTTACACAATTTCCAGGTGATTCTGGTCACGGTTTTAAAAAGTATACTCTTTACAACTGTGTTTTTCCCCCCCAGTAATTTCTCAGGGGGCTGTAGCCTGTAGAGGTGCTATAGGGTGGGGAATAGTCTGGACGACAGCGCTGAGTATGGCCCTGAGGCAAGCAGCTCGGAGCTTCTTGAGAACCGCCAGGCGCACGGCCACCGTCAGCATCTTGAGGACACAGGGGACGGCGAAAGCCTTCAAAGGTAGTCGGGCCTTTACTATCACCCTTTACCTATATATAGTGCTCGTGCTGCCTCGCTAAAGAGGTGAGGTCGGTTATTCTTAGACATTGTCGTGTAACTTTGTGGTTGGGGACGGTGGAAGGTACTAAGACCTCGACGACCGTGGGATCATATTTCTCTGTTTAAATATCCATATCGTTGAGGGTTGGTGGCGTTCGTCATGACTCTAGGAATCCAGAGGCCCGGGCTCAATACACGTCCCCCTTCCCCCCCCCCCCCAAAGAAAAAAGCTGATGGCATTTAACTTTTATATAGTAACTGGAATTTAAAAGCTAAAGGTGACAATGGACTGTCATTTTAAAAAAAAACCCTCATTCACTTAAATCTGCCATCCTTGCTCAGTTTAGTCTGAGTGACTGCATACCCAGAGCTAATGTGGTTGACTCCTAACTGCCTTCCGAAATGGCCGAGCAAGCCAGTCAGTAACAAAGATTTACCTTGCCAGTGACGCCAAGATTAAATAAAACTCTCAGATGTTGCACCATTCAAGTTCTGAGGAAGAGTCACCGGACCCGAAACGTTAACTCTGTTTCCTCCTTCGCAGATGCTGCCAGACCTGCTGAGCTTTTCCAGCAACTTTGTTTTTGTCCCTGATTTACAGCATCCGCAGCTCTTTCAGTTTTTATTTGCACCATTCAAAGTCATGCACATTTCGAGAAGAGGTGTTGGAAGAGAAGAGGGGGGGCTGGTATTTCTGTTCTTACTTGTTCAAACCTTCAATCCCTCTTTTGTATCTTTAGGTAAAAGTTTAAAAAAAAAATGAGGGAGTGAGAGCCATCCATCTGCACTGATTTAAAATCAGACTGTAGATGTTCTTTTCAATCGAGGGTTGCTTTTAAATGGCAAAGTAGCCAGGCTACTGAAAACACTTCGACAGGACAAATGTCCTCCATCCCTGCAATGATAACTCCATGATGTTTAGCTTGAGACTGTAGGAGCCCAAGTGTCCTTCTGGTCTTGGCTGCCTTTGAAAATATTCAATGGCCCCCACCTCCACCACTCTGGGGAAGAGATTCCCATACTCTCCATCCTCTGAGAGAGAAATAAAATTATCTCCATCTCTGCCTTTAAATGGGAGAGCGCTTTTTTATAAACTGTGCCCCCGCATTCTGTTTTCTCTGACAAGAAGAAACCTCCATTGCGGTGACAACGTCAAGTCACTTAATTTGGAATTCAGAAACAAGAAATATACCTTTTAAAATTGTAAATGTGTGTATTGCTTAAAAAAAAATACTTTATCGCAGCTTTTCAACATGCACGAGACCCTTGAGTTTCCTCTGCCAGTCAATAAGATTATGGCTGATTGTTGTCCTCAGTGCCAGATTTCCATCTGATCTCTTCATTCCTTTTAAGTCCAAAAATGTAACAGTCCCAATCCTGAACTTAACAACTGAGATCTGGGTAGAGAATTTCAAAGCTTTTACTTCTGAAGAAAATTCTTAACTTCGTCGTAAATGGTGGATCCCTTTTTCCTGAGACTAAGTCCCCTTGTTCTGGACTCTCCAGAGAGGAATCAGTATCTTAGCTACAATCCTGTCAAGCCCTCTTTCTGTTGTGTCTTACTAAATGTGCACTAGGGGTGGCTCAGTGGTTAGCACTGTTACCTCACAGCGCCAGTGACCCAGGTTCAATTCCACCCTTGGGCAACTATTTGTGTGGAGTTTGCACATTCTCCCCGTGTCTGTGTGGGTTTCCTCCCACAGTCCAAAGATATGCAGGTTAGGTGGATTGGTTGTGCTAAATAACCTATAGTGTCCAGGCATATGCTGGCTAGGTGGGTTAGCCATGGGAAATGCAGGATTACAGGGATAGGGTAGGGGGGGTGGTGGTTCTGGGTGGGATGCTCTTTGAAGGGTCTGTGTGGATTTGATGGACTGAGTGGCTTGGTTCCACACAGTATGGATAGGATTCGATGATTCTAAGTTGATGAATCAAGTTTTAAAAAATGAATCCGAATCTTTTGTGTCGTGTGATGGAGCACAAACTAAAAGAAAGCGGTCACATGGAACCGGTAGCAGGGTCTGCCACCTGAGGACAATTTTGGAAACCCTATTGTTGTTGACATAAAAACAAGAACTACTATGTAGATTATCTCAGATGTGATCAGAGGCGAAGGACCTGAGGTAAGAAGTTAGGCAAAGAAACTAAAATTGTTGGCAAAACTCAACAGCGGTGAGAACACAAAGTTGACATTGAGTCCAGTGACCCTTCAGATGTTAGGACTTTTTAAAAAATATTTAATGAAAATTCAAAACTAACAAAGTAACCTGATAGAGGTCTTCAAGTTTAAAGATGTCGTTAAACTAGAAAGGGTTGAGGCAAGATTTACAAGGATGTTGCCGGGGTTGGAGGGTTTGAGCTCTAGGGAGAAGCTGAATAGTCCCAGCCTATTTTCCCTGGAATGTCAGAAGCTGAGGGGTGACCTTTAGAAATTGATAAAATCATGAGGGTCATGGAGAGGGTGAATGGGCAAGGCCTTTTCCCCAGGGTAGGGGAGTCCATAATGAGAGGGCAGAGGTTTAAGGTGAGAGGGGAAAGATTTGAAAGGGACCTAAGGGGCAACTTTTTCTTGCAGAGGATGGTGTGTGTATGGAATGAGCTGCCAGAGGAAGTGGTGGAGGCTGGTACAATTAAAAGGCATCTGGATAGGTATATGAATAGGAAAGGGTCCGAGGGATATGGGCCACATGCTGGTAAATGGGACTAGATTAATTTCGGATATCTGGTCAGCATGGACGAGTTGGACCAAAGGGTCTGTTTCCATGCTGTACATCTCTGTGACTAAGTCTATTGAAGGGCTACTTTGATTGAATGGCATAGCAGACTAGATGGGCAGAATGGCCTACTTCTGGTCTTGCATCTTGTTGTCTTATGACTCTGTAATTGAAAAGAAATTGTTGTCTCACCTAACAGTGAAAGCAAGTAATAGGAAGAAAGGAAATTAGGAAAGAGGAAGTTGAAAACAGTTTCTTCAAAGTGGTTAAAATGAGGAATTTGCAGCCACAAATCGTTATTGAAACAGCATTCCACATGCTGTTCCAAGGACATTAAGTAGTTAGTAACAGGAGAATATGCAGCTTTTTTTTGAGCAAACGTGATTAGATTAGGTGGTTCACGTGAAAACAGATACAAGCACAAATATGATGGACTGAGTTAGTTATCCCTGCACTGTAACACTCTTGTTCTACAACAGTGATATTTTTCTAAATTTCACATTAGCCTGTGTCGTGGCCACTTTGACTTAGCCAATTTTGTGCCATTATTAGATTAAGGTTGCCCAGACTTATTTTGCATGGGGCTAACAGATCAAAAAGACTTCTATTCCAGTGATCTTGTTTGGGTTTGAATCCAGGCCAACGATGAAAGGCCAATATCTAATCTATGAGCACCAGCCAGTTTTACCGGTAAGGAAGAATTTCTAATTCTCAGACTGTTCTAAGTGCCAATTAAATAGACAATGTGTGTAAATCAGCCAGTTAAAAGTGACTCTGTGCAGGGATACTGCAGTATCATTTCCTGAAATGGAAGTGATACAACAAAAAAAAATCACCAATTCTATTTTGACTTTTTCTTGCTGTTCAGTCACCTGGTCAGTTTACAGTAAATTCCATTTTGTGAATGAGTAATCCAACTGTTTAAAATGTTTATTGAAACTTACTTTGGCCTGTAGATTTGTACTCATAGGGCATGGAGATTTGACAGTTCCACCACCTTGACAGGAATAGCTCAACAGCACAGAAAAAAGCCCTTCGGCCCATCATGTCCACACTGGTCAAAAGCGACCACCTATTCTATTCACATTTTTCAGTGTTTGGTCCATAGAATTGGCATCACGAAAACACATCTAAATGCTTCTTCAATGTTATGAGGGTTTCTGCCTCAACTACCCTGACAGGCAGTGAGTTCAAGATTTCCACCACCCTTTGGGTGAAAAACTGTTTCTTCCTGTCCCTTACCTTAAATCTATGCCCTCTGTTCATTGATCCCTCCATCGTAAGGTGGACAGGCAGAAACTTTTTACCCTATCTATGGCCCTCATAATTTTATACACCTACCAATTGATGTATTATTGTCCCATGTACCGAGATGTAGTGAAAAAGTATTGTTTTGCATGCTATCCAGGCAACTCGTAACTTATAAAAGTACATCAGGGTAATAAAACAGAATGCAGAATATAGTGTTACAGTTGTAGAGAAGGTGCAGAGAAAGATCAACTGTAATATGAGAGGTGATCTTTACTATGTGTGATCTATTTGTGATCTTTACAATCATATTTGATTTGGATATTGCTTATTCACTCAGTGCCATCACCAGTAAACCCCCAGAGCCATAGAAGTTTGCTGCATTCATCAGATTTGATAACTCTTTTGAAATCTCGTAAACTGTTCTTCATGTCTCTGAATGATATGGGGATCAGGTTACCTATACTGCATTATTAATTCAAGTCTTTACTTCCAGCCAGACCCAATGACTCTAATTGTCAGATCAAAGAGAGTCCAATTCATGAGATGCTCACAAAATTCAATTTTATTCACTTTCACTCTCCCCTTCCCAAATTTTCCATGAGAAATGTACTTGGTGGTTTCCTGTGTCCACAGGATTTTACAAACTCCATTGGACATATTAAGGATATTTGGTTTTGAATATTAGATGTTGAGGCTGGTTCTGTTCTGATTTTGAGATTCATCTTTTGGTCTTTAAAACTGCACTAAGTACTCTGCCTCTCAAAAGCTGCAACCATTGACAGTGTAAACCGCAATTTAAGCTGTAGTCACGTAACAAGAAGCACATTGTACTTCTGGTACTGAGGTCTGTGGAATTGTCAGTTGTGAACTGTAACTACTCAGGAAAAGATTGCAATATCTTTTGACTTTTTTGCCTGATGGTTTCAACAGCAGGAGGATTTGAAGTTTTTTCTTCCTTATAAGATTCAGTTCTGTTTTATCCAGTAACTATATTGGGGGAGACCCAATCAATATAAACTGAGCATGATTTCTTTGTCGCAAAGTTGATGGACCTTTTCTCATTGGCTTCCTTAATACTGAAAGATACAATGAGTGAGATTACACCTGAAATTGTATTTAGCTGAGGGAACAGATTGGGATTTTCCATACGTGGAAATGGCATGAGTACCTGCAATTAGATTCTTCTGGATTCTCAGATTTTAGTCGGTGAAAATTCTGAAATTCCCTCCCTGAGAGCACTGTGTCCATCTACACCCAGTGGTTCAAGAAGGCAGCCCACCAACACCTTCTAGAAGGGAGTTAGGGAGAGGTAATAAATGTTGGCCGAGCCGCTGATGCCCACACCCAATGAACAAATAAATGCCATTTCTGGCATACTGCCACATTTAATCTCTGGGTACGTTCTGCAAAATGTTTAACTTCCCAAAGGGAGTCAAAGGATACAGGGTATAGATCGCCCTTCGTTTATACCTCCATTGCTTAAACATGGAGTTTATTTTTACCAGGAAGCTTTGTCAATTATATAGCTGGTACAAAGGTTAAGAACTCGTACCGGTACAGGAACCCACAACTGTTCAGAACTTGTGACTGAAATTACCGTTTTCTCCCACTTTGCAGAGAAAGATGAAAAGCTGGAAGAGCAGAAAATTGCCAAATGTAAGTTGAGATTTGCATTTCATTGCACTGATGTTCCTTTGTGCACTTTACATTTTAATATTTTTTCTGCATTCTATTCACAGGAGTGGTGTGTGCTCCCAATTAACTCTTTGAGCAGTAGCTTAATGGGTTAAGGACAACTGAGAAAACACCGATGATAAAGTTAACCAGGGTTGTAAAAATAGCATTCGGATGAGTAACTAATCCCTGTGTTAATGTCAATCCCAGACACAAGGTTTGTTCGGGCATTTCTTTTTTATAAAATTGTCTTTTTTTTTTCAGTGCCTAAGATCCAGTTTGACTGGCGTGATCCTCTGAATCTGGAAAGTCAGCTGACTGAGGAAGAAATTCTCATTCGAGACACTTTCCGTCAGTATTGCCAATCAAAGCTGATGCCAAGGATTCTTCTGGCAAACCGAAATGAAGGTGTGGAGCTTAACCTGAGGGCACGGATTTATTTGAACTCAATTCTTACTTTGGTGTCATGGGCCCCCAAAGCATTCCCTCTCGTCTGTTCCAGTTGTAGAAGCTTGAAGTTTAACAATCCCACTCCCAGATCCTCAGCAGCTCAGTTCTATCATTCTTCTCTGCTCGAAGACCAGTCCAACCCATAACCTTCACCACAGGCACAGGAAGGCACGTTCATAAAGACAATAGGAGCAGGAGTAGGCCAATTGGCCCTTTGAGCCTGCTCCACCATTCAACATGATTGTGGCTGATCTTCTAACTTGGTAGGCTGTTCCTGCTTTCTCCAACCACCCCCCCCCCCCCCCCCCCCCATACTGTTTGGTCCCTTTAGCCCTAAGAAGTATAGCTATCTCCTTCTTGAAAACACTTAGAGTTTTGGCCTTGAAGGCAGGTACCAAATCCACCTTAGCCAGACCAGTGATTGAACCCTATGCTGTTGGCACCAATCTGTCCAACTGAGTAAATATCTCCCAGCAAGGAGTCTGAGGAATCATGTGGTGCATGTTTTAGCCTGGAGTTATGGATTGTGATGGTAGACGTTCCAATTTCCTTCCACCTCATGACTGACCAGGACTGTCTTCCGCTCTTACTGCCTGCTGATGACATATGTTGGAAGGAATTATGGATTGGTACTCAACCTGTTTGGCAGCGTATGACTGTACCTTCCTTAGCTAACAAGCCCTGGAGTGGGACTCAAGCTCTCAGCTTCTGATTCATACAGGGATGATACACACTGTGACATGAGACCAACGTTGTACAATTCACTATTTGCACTTTAAACAATGCTTTCTTTTTACTGAAGTAAATCATAACCAAAGCTTTCTGCAGGAACTTAATCAGACAAAAATTGCTTAAAGAAGAAGATACCAATGCTATTGCCCAAATTAGAGGTTTGTTTTCAGAAGGATGAGATGGAGAGATGATATTTGAGGGAATTCCAGCGCATAGGGCCCAGTTCAGGCAGATGAAGCGATGGCCTCTGTTGGTGGAGCACAGTAAATTGGGGGTGCATGGCACAGAATTTGGAGGAACTCAGACTCTGTGTTTGTAGGGAGGTTGCAGAGATGGAGTCGTGAGACCATTACTGGATTTAGATGCGAAGGTAGAAACTGCAAAGCCAAAACTTTGATTCCCAATCCAGCAAGCACAAGAGGTGCTGGGTGAAGGGAATTTAACTGGACGGGATATTTAATACTCTGACTTGCTGTGAAGATTTGTAGCTTGAGTTGTGGATGAGGTTGTTGGCTTGCTTGCTGAGCTTTCTGGTTATCGTACGATAACCAACCAGCTCAGTGAGCAAGCCAACAACCTCATTCTGACTTGCTGTTTGAAATTTCTGGGCTTGGAATTTTTGAAAGGTGGGACAATTCCCTTTCAATTACTGAAGCCCATGTTAAGGAAGCTGAGGCTAATTGTAAGACCCACTGAAATCAGCCAACTCAGCACAGACTCGGATTGAATCAGGTAATGTCCTTGCTCATTTAGGTTGAGCACCAGGCTATCGGATGAAAGATACTTTGTCGTTAGTCTCGTGTTGTATTTTAGCTTGTATCCAAATGAGATTGTCTTGTCTTCTGATCTAGTTTTGACACCGTTCTTTCATTCTATCCAGTGTTTCATCGTGAAATCCTATCGGAAATGGGAGAGCTGGGCGTATTGGGATCGACCATTAAAGGTAACGGATCCTTCAGTTCTGAAAATGTAGTTTAAATCATTGTAAAGATTATAGAGCTGTTTATTTCTTTGTTTATTTGAAAGCAGTTTGACCTGCTAGGATTTTAGATCCTTCAGTAAAAGATTAATAATAATAATAATAATAATAATAATAATAATAATAATAAAAAATAATATTGGCGATTCTAAATAATATTGGAGATTCTATGTTTCCAGGTTATGGGTGTGCTGGTACCTCATACGTATCCTATGGACTGATTGCACGGGAAGTGGAGCGGGTGGATAGCAGCTATCGGTCAGTAATGAGTGTCCAGTCCTCGCTGGTAATGCATCCAATCGCAGCCTATGGCACAGAAGCACAGAAGCTAAAATACCTCCCGAAACTAGGTGTGTGACCAAGTCTGTCTCCTCTGTTCAGTAGCTTTGCTGTAACTTGCTGCAAGATGATTGAAGAGCTGTCTTGCGTTTCCCCCACCCCTTGTATTCTTGCAGCCAAAGGAGAATTGTTGGGCTGCTTCGGTCTAACAGAGCCAAACCATGGAAGTGACCCTTCAAGCATGGAGACCAAGGCGAGATACAACAAAAGCAGTGACACTTACACACTAAATGGATCAAAGACCTGGTACGTGCACAAGGGAGACACTTAGGTAAAGTCACCATCGTCGCAGAGGACTATAGGGCTGCTGTCTCATTAGAGAGAGAAATGATGGGTGGTGAGTTTGACCTGAGGGTCACTATATCTCGGGCAAGGTTGACACAACAGGACTTTCAATGGTAACCTCAGTCAGTCACTGGTGCATTTCATTCCAGTTGTCCAGCCGACTGAGCTAGCCGATCCCCAATCCTTAGTGTAACTATTCAGCCAGTATGTTATAGTAAACTTTTAAGACTGCTTAGGCCCCAAGTGCACTACTCCATTCAATTCTAAATGCCATACTTGAGCAAGGATGGCCAGGCCTTGGAGAGGGAGAAAAGAGATTGACCGATTAGAAGAGGACCAGGGATTGCAGGTCAACAGACAGAATGGAGCGACTCTCTGTTTGCTCTCACTGGAGCAGAGAAAGCAGAGATGAAATTTTGACAGGTCTTCAAAACGTGAAGGTGGTCGACAGAATAGATGGGGGTCAGTCAGGGAGGGTTGGTAACACAGACATAACTGGCAAAAATGGCAGAGGTGGCACCAAGCTGTCTTGTGCCCAAGGGAGAATTGGGAGCAAATTCAGGAATAACTTTCTGAAGGGAATTGTACAAATACTTGAAATAGAAAAGGAATTTCAGGGGAATGGGATTATTTGAGAAGATCTACGAAAGAGCTAACATAGGCACAGTGGACTGAATAGCCTTCACCTGTGCTGCATGATTCTGTCATGCATTGGATCGGATAAAGTTTAAACTCTTATTGTGTAATAGATCCAGTCAGGCCAATTTTAACTTTATCCTTCAGCCTAAATGGAACAGTAGATGCTGAAACCAATTTGACCAAAGCTCAAACTTGTAATTTTGAAAGACCAAGTTAGTAGATACATTTCAATTGTGATCTGCTCCTGTACTGTAGCGTACGTGATCCAGTGTGCTCTTGTAGATCAAATCCTTTCTCTGCATGTGATGAAATCGGTGTATTTTCTTCTATACTATGGGTTACAGGAGCAATAGGTTTCCTTTGCGTTCTGACCCATCCTTTGTTATTCACAAACATCTGCTAAATCCCAGGCTTTAACATTGCGTTTATCTGGCCTTGGGTGTTGGCTTTGTTAGAAAATGGAAAGGTAACTAAACTCCAGTAGAAACTGTCTGCAGCACGCACACGTTGGGGCAGTGTCACAAGGATTTAGTAGGCTGATTTAGCAATGTATTTGAACTGCAGGGTGAACCCTCCTTCCATGACCACCATTATAGACAGGTGGTTGAAAAGGCGTTTGGCACATTTGCCTTCATTGCTCAGTCATAGAGCTGTACAGCACGGAAGCAGACCCTTCAGTCCAACTTGTCTATGCTGACCACATCCCTCTAAATCCTTCCTATTCATATACCCATCCAGACAGCTTTTAAATGTTTTAATTATACCAGCCTCCACCAATTCCTCTGGCAGCTCGTTCCATACATGCACCACCCTCTGCGTGAAAACATTGCTCCTTGGGTCCCTTTTTAAATCTTTCCCCTCTCACCTTAAACCTATGCCGTCTAGTTCAGGACTTCCACCCACCCACCTCAGGGAAAAGCCCCTGTCTATTTACCCCATCCATACCCCTCATGATTCTCTTTTGAGTATAGGAGTTGGAAAGTCATATTGAGGCTGTACAGGACAGTGGTGAGGCCTCTTCTGGAACACTGTGTCCAGTTCTGATTGCCCAGTTATAGGAAGGATATTAAGCTGGAGAGGGTTCAGAAGAGATTTACCAGGATATTGCCAGGTATTGAAGGTTTGAGTTAGGCTGGGACTTTTTTTCACTGAAGTGTAGGGGGTTGAGAGGTTCATAAAGTCAAGGAACGTAGATAGAGTTAATGGTGTCTTTTCCCTAGGATGGGGGATTTCAAGATTAACGGGCACATTTTTAAGGTGAGAGGAGAGAGATTTAAGAAAGACTTAAGATTTTTTTACACAGAGGGTGTTTTAATGTGGAATGAACTTTGAGGAAGTGGTAGATGTGGGTACAATTACAACATTTAAAAGACTTTTGGATAAGTACATGAATAGGAAAGGTTTGGAGGGATATGGGCCAGGAGCAGGCAGCTGGGACTAGTTTAGTTTGGGATTATGGTCGGTATGGACTGGTTGAACTGAAGTCTGTTTGCGTGCTTAATGATTTTAAAGTCCTGGAGAGAGACTTGAACCTGGAGTTTGTGGCTCAGAGATGGGGTATATGACCTCCTGAACCACAAGGTGACCTCAATGTTAGGTGATGACACACTATGAAGTGGCTGAGATTCTTTTGATCACAGCAAGTCACAGTTTCAGTTTTCCCAAAGTTCATGATCACTTGGGGCCGATACTGGATGGTGGCACTTTTAAAATCGGTTAGGAAAGGGAAAAAAGGAACTGTCTTTAATTATGGTTGTTCTATATTCCTGTCTGCCCATGTTTAGCCTTGCAAAATTCTACTGAAAATTGGTAACGTGGAAGCAGTGTATAACTGATCTGGCAAACAGTGTAATCCTCCTTTCGTTTCAAGTCTTTTAAAAAATGTTGGGAATACTCAGCAGGTCTGGCAGCCTCTGTGGACAGAGGAACAGAGTTCGCATTTTGAGTGGACTAGGATTTTTTTTTTTGATCTGAAAAGTTCCTATTTCACTCAGTTGAATCTGTTTCTCTCTCCACAGATGCCACCAGATTTGCGTTTCCTAGCAATTTTTAAAAATGATTTCCAGTATTTGTGGTATTTATTTTAATTTAAGATTTTTTTTTTACCAAATTGGAAGCTCTGGGAGGCATGAGATCACTTGTAATTTGGGGATGGCTGTTGCTTTCTTGGTCACTACCTCTGTCAATGGCTCAGTTTGTTGATTGATATGTTCTGTGCAGTATTGAGGGAGTGCAGTGCAGTCAGAGGTGCCACTCTTCCAAATGAACCTTAATTGATGATTTTTTAAAAAAAATTTATTCTTTCAATCATTCACAGGATGTGGGCGGCACTGACTAGGCTACTATTTAATGCCAATCCATAATTGTAGTTAAGAATCAACCACATTGCAGTAGGTCTGGAGTCACATGTAGGCCAGACCAGGTAAGGATGGGAGTTTCCTTCCCTAAAGGGCATTAGTGAACCAGATGGGTTTTTCCTGACAATTGACATCAGCCAATTCTATATTTTTACTGAATTCAAATTCCACCATCTCCCATGGTGGGATTCAAACCCAGGTCTGATGAAGAGTCATCAAGACTCGCAACATTAGCTTGTTCTTTCTCCATGGGTGCTGTCTGACCCGCTGTGAGTTACAGCATTTGTTGTTTTCCCCACAACATTACCTGGGTCTCAGGATTAACAGTCCAGTGATAATACCACTAGCTCATCACCTCCCCAAAGCCATCATCTGCCTTCTTGGCTCATCAATGAAGATTCCACAGCACTGTTTTGGAAACAGCACGTGAATTCTCCTGGCCAATACTTGTCCTCAACCAACATCACTTAAAATACCAATTACCTGGTCGTTTTATTACATTGTTGTTGACGATAGCTTGCTGAGTTCAAGTTGACTGTAGCATTTCCTATGTTGTGATTGTGATTGTTCCTACAGTTGACAAGTACTTAGTTGAAAAGTAAGTGCTTTGGGATGTCCCAAAGTGGTGACAGACACTATACAAGTGAAACTTCTCAATGTATTGCTCATTGAGAGTCTAAGCCATTAAGACATTCATACCCAGCAACACCAATGATTAGGGACCAGAAATGTAGGCTTTTCTGACACTGCGCCTTGCTCTTGATCACTGAGGCAAATTATAGCTCTAAAGTCTGCCCTGGCTGAGATAGTAGTGGCATTGACTGGCAATTGAAGCCTCAGAATTGTGACATGTGACTAATTTGCCCTCTGAGGCATTTGAGGGAGAGGCAGAGAGATCTCATCTTGAAATATTGCTGTATGAATTCCATCTGTTTGAATAATGTGAATCTGGTTTCCCAACTAGGATTACTAACTCGCCAATGGCTGATATCTGTGTGGTCTGGGCCAAGTGTGATGATGGGAAGGTGCGAGGATTTATTCTTGAGAAGGGGATGAGGGGCTTGACAACACCAAAGATTGAAGGGAAGTTCTCACTGCGAGCGTCTTTGACTGGGATGATTCTGATGGAGGATGTGGAGGTGCCAGCGGAAAATCTGCTGCCTGGTGCAGTGGGCCTCTCGGTAAGTTCGTACCATTGGCACAGCCATCTCTTTTTAAGAAAAAACAAAAACTGGGTCCTGTACCTGCATAAACTTCTAGTAGACTTTACAAAGAATTGGTGGGATGGAGCAAAAAGTGGCTTGAGAGAGAGGGGCGTGATCAAATGATGCTGGTATATGTTCTTCTGCTGTTTCCTCTTAAAACTGGGCATATTCATGTACTCAGCATCCTGATTTGATTTGATTTATTGTAGTCACATGTACCTAAGTACAGGGAAAAGCTTTGTTTTGCAACCAGTACAGGCAGATCATAGCAAACAAGGACATACAGATCATAGGATGTTTAGACAGAGCGAGGCATGCAAGGTTACGGCTGCACAGGAGGTGCACAAAAGCAAGGTCAACATTGGAATTGAAATTAGAGATTTCCGTTCACCAGTCTGATAACAGCAGGGAAGAAACTGTTCTTGAACCTGTTGTATGTATGTTCAACCTTCTGTATCTTCTGCCTGACAGAAGAGGTTGGAAGAGAGTGTTTTCTGGGGTGGGAAGGGTTTTTGATGTTGGCAGCCTTTCTGCAGCAATGAAGTGTAAATGGAGTCCATGGATGGAAGGTTGGCTTCTGTGATGGTCTGGGCTGTGCACACCACCTTCTGTAGTTTCTTATGGTCCTTGGCAGAGCAGGTTTTCAGCAGACTTTTCACAGTCTAAGGACGTGGGCTAGGCCGTTTCGGACAGAGGCGAGGAGAAATGTCTTCACCTGGAGGTGAAGCCTGTGAAATTCTCTTCCACAAAAAGTGGCTGTGGCCAAAACACTGAATATTTTCAGGAAGGAGTTAGATGTGGTTCTTAGGGTTAAAGGGATCAAAGGGTATGAGGGGAAAATGCAGGATACTGAGTCTGCTGATCAGCCATGATCTCATTAAATGGTGGTGCAGATTTAAAGGACTGAATGGCCTATTTCTGCTCCTGATTTCTGTTTATTTTTAAAAAAAGGTTTTATTCCTCTCAGAATTAGCAAAACAGTAAAAGGTCATTAGCGGTACATTGTGTCATAATCAGCCAATATTGTAAAGAGCTTCAATTACCTGCATAGTTCCCATACAGCTAAGACCTAACCACTTTCTTGAAAGCTGCCATTGTTGCGTCTCTGACCCATTAAAAGTCAAATTTTTGTTTTTGCTAAAATGGACCCAATTCAAATGGGAATCCCTCATGGGATCTAAAGTCTGGACATTGGCATTAGTCAGTCAGAAAATGCCACTGTTGCTAATATGATGAGTATGGTGCCAGTCTCTCAAAACCTAACAGCAAAAGTCCCTGTAGACACGTAGGAAACGAAACAAGTGGGTTTTTGCTCGTAACTATGGGCTCTGAAATGGGAACAAATTCAAGTCCAACATCAACAAGCCTTCCAGGATCTCACTGGAGGTGCATCCTTTTGAGTAATCCCAGGTCCTTGTATGCTCCCACAAAAAGGATGTTAAAAATAAATACATAGTGCAATTTCAAAAAAATACAGGGAATTTTCCACCCGTGTCCTGACCAATATTTACCCTTATTTGCCACCAAAATAAAATGGTTGATGATCAAATTGCCATGATTAGGAAATGCACGGGCAATTTATATCTTATCAGTGACCATGCTTCAAAAGGTCCTTTGCTCTGAAGCTCTGGGATTTCCTGAGATTGTGCAAGGCTTTACAGGAAAGCACATTCTTTTTATCTTTTCAAGTGTAGGTAAATATCTAGAACATCATCTCAGAATAGGGACGTGAGTTATGGGTCATGTAAGTTCTCCCTGTATTAAATCACTAAAATTTCCAAATGTTGCGTACTCCATTTTTGTTGCATATCCCAAGATATGGTGTGATTGTCAAACGTGATTTGTAGATGCATAATCTTTTGCTCTTTCTGCTAACCCAGGGTCCTTTTGGGTGTTTGAACAATGCTCGGTATGGAATTGCTTGGGGAGCCCTGGGAGCTGCAGAGTTTTGTTTGGAAACAGCCAGGCAGTATGCATTGGACAGGTAATGACAGGAATGTGATGACTACAAAAGGTTGCAGTAGCTTGCTTTAAAGTGGGTTTTATTAAATTGCACCACCCATTTGGTGCAGATGCTTAGGGAGAGGTCACTGGGGGAAGCTCCGAGAAGTTTGTTCAGGGGTGGCTATGCCCAGAGTCTGACAGTCATATGGCAAAGAAACAGACCCTTTGGTCCAACCATTCCATACAGACCATAATCCCAAACTAAACTAGTCCCACCTGCCTGCACTTGGCCCATATCCCACCAAACATTGCTTATTGTACTTCTCTAAATGTCTTTTAAGTGTTGTAACTGTACCTGCATTCACCACTTCCTCTGGAAGTTCATGCCACACACAAACCACTGTGTTTTTTAAAAAACAAAAAAAGCCCCTGATGTCTTTTTAAAATCTTTCTCCTCTCACCCTAAAAATACGTTCCTCTAGTCTTGAAATCCATCCCCCACTGGGAAAAGACACCTGCTATTCACCTTATCTATACCCCTCATGATTTTATAAACCTCTATAAGGTCACCCCTCAACCTCCTATGCTCCAGTGAAAGAAGTCCCAGCCTCTCCTTATAAATCAAACCCTCTATTAATATCCATTGATAGCAGGACAAACCTTTGATTTGGCTTCTCCCCAAATGCATTAGTTTCCACAGGCATCATTAACCAAATGGCAATTATACGTGAGCCTTGATGGAATGGGCTGGTCCCAGTAGCCATCACTGCTTATTTCCAGTTCTGCCCTAAACCAGTATCAATAGCGCAGTAGTGACTGGGAATGCCAATTTTCTCCTAAAGGCATTCTGGGCCCTGTAACCCCTGACCTCTACCACCAGGAAGGACAAAGACAGCAGAAACCACCTGCAAGTTCTCCTCCAAGCCACTCACTACACTGACTTGGAATTATATCGATCGTTCCTTCACTGTCACTGGATCAAAAACCTGGGAGCTCCCTAACAGCACCGTGGGTGTCCCTACACCCAAAGGACTGCTGCAGTTCAAAGATGCAGCTCACCACCACCTTTCCCAGGGCAATAAGGTCTAATGACACCCACATCCCATGAATGAATAATACATTTTTTTTTAAAAAAACTACCTGGTCTAGAATTGCCTAACTGCACAGATCAGCTTGGACTTTTCCTAGTCTAAATGACTCGCCTATTTGCCTTTTTTTTTTAAAAAAAGTAAAACCAAAGGCAGGCACTCATCTGTCTGGTGTCTACTTCCGTGGTTGTGCCAAGATTACGCTGTATAATTAGCCACAGATGGAGCCTGGAATACTTTCTTAAATTAACTGTTTAACTTTCCAGTCGCCACGCTGTACAATGAGTTGATATTCCTTGTTCTTGGAGACCTCTGCCTGTCCTTGCAGACATTGCATATCATACAGCCACCTTGCCAGGGAACAGCAACTGTGCCATCTCCCTACCTCCTTACCTGGATGTGTGTTTTACTTTGGTCAGGTCTGCAGCGAGGGCTTCTGCTTAATAAAGAGCATTTCACTCATCCTGTTTGGGAAACACCACATCTACCCAGGTCCAAAGAAAGTGGGTGCAAAGCCAAAGTTGACCAATCCTGTGGAATACATTCCTAAATCTCAATTGATGCAAGAATTCCAGAGATTAACAGGAAAGTAGAAATGTTTTGAACCTAGAAAGTAATTGGGAAAATAAACCTCTTGAGTGGGAGAAAATATGATTAATCTGCCCAGAGTAGATTATTCTCTCTTCTCTTCTCTTCACCATTCAAGAGAACAGGAAGCTGTGGAGGATTTCCCTCTTCGGTTATTCTCTATCTTCACCAAACTTTGACCTCCAATCTTGTTGCAGGATTCAATTTGGGGTTCCCATCGCTAGAAACCAACTCATCCAGAAGAAAATGGCAGACATGTTGACAGAGATCACACTGGGTCTTCATGCCTGCATCCAACTGGGTCGATTAAAGGAGGAAGACAAGTGCGTATTAATTACAACTCCCTAACTCTGTAACTGAGTTAACCAAGAGCAGAATCTAATCCGCCAAGATGTTGGAGGTGATGTTTATTCATTCTTTCATTTTAAATGTGTATCTTCATTGTAGGGCTGCTCCTGAAATGATCTCCATGTTGAAGCGAAATTCCTGCGGGAAAGCTCTGGATATTGCCAGGCAAGCACGTGACATACTGGGTGGAAATGGGATTTGTGATGAATACCATGTCATTCGCCATGTCATGAATCTGGAATCTGTAAACACTTACGAAGGTAAAGAATCTTATGATCCAGACAAAGTCCTTTTGGGGAACTTACCAAGTTTTCTCCCCCACCACCTCTTTTGGTTCAGATGGTGAAAGGATTTGGTGGGTTTGGACCAAAAGAAACTGATTCCTTTGGCGGGAAACTGATATTAATTTGGAAATATCTGGCAAAGAGAAGTAGGAGAGTCCTCCTGTCTTCCATATCGCCTCGTTCACAATATATCATGCAGCTTAAGTGCTGGCCATTTTTCCCTTTTTGTTAGACTGGTCTCTCCCAAGTAGAAAGTAATTCTTTTTAATCAACCTGTTTGGAGATCATGTAGCACACCTCTGGGCCAGATAAGACTTGAACCCAACCTTTTGGCCCGGAGGTAAGGACAATACTATAATGCCACAAGAACTTCTAAGATTTTTAATCTATGCTCCCTAGTCTTTTTCTGCTTAGTGTCAGGTCCTGTTAATCACAATTGGGGCCTGCACATATTCACACTCAATTAACAGAGTTTGCAGCATTTGCAAACAAAGGGGTCTAGCTTTTTTTAAAAAAAAAAAAAAATTAGACCATTCGGGGGGGGACGTTTCTCAGGAAAAGGGTAATGAAAAGCTCTGCCCAAAATGCTGTGATGCTTGAAGTCATCAGAAAATGTCAAAACTATGATCAATAAATGTTTTAGTTAATTAAGAGTTACAGGACCAACGTAGGGTAAATGGAGTTGGGACACTGGGCAAGATATGACATGAACAGTGGAACAGGCTCAAGGGGCTGAATAGCCTTCTCCTCTTACCTCTTTCTATGCTGTTCCCACCCAGTTTGCTGGAGCTTTCAGGCACAGTGCTGCTCTCCTCATGAAATACTTGACTTGGCATGCTGTGACATCTTGAGGAATTTGTGCATGTGCTATAATTGTCAATAGAAAATCACCAAGGGTAGTGAAAATTTAACACTGAGTGGCAACAATAATTCTTAATCTATTCACTGTTAAATACCTTGGTTGAACTGGAGTAGAATTATTTCTTTTGTCCCTACTCAGCCAACTTGGCTTTTCTTTGAGGTCTCAAGAAAGAGGAAAATGAAGATTCCCTTCTGTAGCACAAGAGTTTTTATTCTGTTCCTGCCTCATTGCAGTGCATGGGCCTGAGCAATCTTGAGACAGATCTATCCATTTAGCCTTGCTAAGTGGGTGAATTTTCTAGCACAATGAGCTCAATTTAGTAAATGATCCAATGCAGTGTAGCATACAGGCTCACAGAAATGATGGACTACAATGTTGTCAGAACTTACAATATCTGGATCAGACACCAACACTTTTCAACTCCATTTTTGCCCTTAATAAGTGGATATCTTGTGGTGCTGTCTGGACACAGGGTGAATTTGTGCTGGTGACCTCGGTCATGTTGTCTGTATGGAATGCCTTTCATGTATCTGATGCTATAAGTCTGCAGATGCACATGTGACTGCATGCCGTGTGTGTCGTGTTACAGATATTTGTCATGTTTTTGTTTCTAATAGCAAATTGCTGTGCAGCTCCACAGCCTCACTCAGCTCCTATATTCACCATAATGGTTTAAGACTTCCTGATGTCATATGAGCATTACAAAGGAAGAAAGCCATTCAGCCACTCAATCCATTTAGAAATGTTTCTGTAAAGGGCAACTCTTTATTAACACTTCTAAATTTATACTTGAACCTGCATCTCCTACTTTCTCCATTGAAGCTAATAGTTCTGGATTCACCATTTCCTGATTCTGGGCTGTCTTATTCCTCTTGGGCCCTTCTACCAGAAAAGAAGCTCCTAAAAAAAGTGAAAAAGAAACGGACAAGCCTTTCATGACCACCGGAAATCCCGGAGTATTTTACAGTGAATGAGGTTTTGTCTGCACTGTAGCCATTTCTGTAAAGTTGGGGAAACGGCGCTCTTGCCTTTACTTCGGATCGCCGACGATAGGGATTAATTTTGTGGCTTTGTTCTGTCTATGACATTACCAAGACTCCCTTAACAACCACAATAGAAGTAATTTTGGAATTAGTGACTGTGAATGGTGAAAAAAATTATGATCAGTGAAGTTTGTATGGGAGTGGTGCCCCAGGGTAATGTTATACACATTACTGGCCACATGTGTCACACATCCACTTACTTCTGTGAACTCTCTAGCACTGCTCACTCCAGCAGACTCTGATTTAATATGCCTGCTGATGGTAAGTTCAATGGTCATTGAGGACAATATCTTTATAATAAAGGCAGGGAGTGGTTGTGAATATTTCTGATAGGTCTGCACTTTCATTAAGCCTAATATTTGCTGCTTTATTATTTTTTCCCTCAGGTACTCACGATATCCATGCCCTAATCCTTGGCAAAGCCATCACAGGTCTGCAATCTTTCACCGTACAGAAATAGTCTGTTATTTGGCTACATGATTTCGGTTACTCTGTTTTCAACCAAATTCTACATCAGCCCATGGTATGTCTGCTGTTTTGAATAACTTGGCCTCTTCAAGTACAGAGGTAGCTCAGCTTTCAAAAATCCTTCTTATCCTAATTGTAGAATCCTACCACAGAAGGTAAACATTTGGCTGCCTGATTTTCGATAGAGCTATTTGATTAATCCTGCACTGTGCTCTTTCCCCAAAACTCTAATTTTCTCCCTTTTGAGTGTTGTCCAAGTACCTTTTGGACATTATTACGGATTTTGTTTTCACCACCATTGAGTGCATTCCAGATCATAACATTGAAGAAGAAAAATAACCTCTGATTTCCCCAGTTCTTTTCCCAATTAGTTTACATTTTTAAAAAATGTATTTTGTAAAATCTAACGGGAGCACAAATATGAGGATTTGGGATCAAGGAATAACATTCAAAAGGTAACTATTAAGTTCATAGTTTGTATTTGTTCTTTGCTACAGCAATTCATAACTAATTTCACTACCCATTCTCTCCCTATAACTTTATATCCTCCCCATTTAACTTTAAGCACTTGGAGCAAGAGAGGATATAATTTGAAACAATTTTGTTCTTTAGTTCTGCTTTCGAATTGATAATTCAGCACTTTAGGGTTGCCTGAAAAAAAAATGTAAATGGACAATCTTCAATGAATCTTATATTTTCTATTGGAGTTTTTTAAAAGGTTTTTTTCTTTTTGTCTTATTCTTTACTTCAGTATGGAGTTAGACCTCTTTATTGAAACCATTCACATGTTTTAAGTTCACTTGTGCAGAAAATCCAATGCCTCTATCTGAATTTGAGTGATCTGAGAAAGGATTAACACTACGTTACACAAGCGCTGAAACATTAATTCATTCATCTGTGCCTTGGATTTTTTTTTAAAAAACAGCTACATGAACAGTATGCCCTCAACCACACACTTTAAATTATGTTGACAATTTGCTGCTTACCCTGGCCTAACGCCCTCTAACAATGCACATATTTATAAGATGACAGGGTAAGTTTTTTTTAATGCTTTTATTATTTGTAATGATGTTACTTTCCAAGTAGAATTGGGAAGACAAGGACTCCCACCCTTTCCCTCTGCATTTTGTCCCCATCTAATGAACCTAGATTGCCATTAGTTACTATTCCTTGTATATGGAGTCCATCATCTTATTCATCGCTAATGGTCTTGGAGTGTGTGGGGAAGAAAGAAAATCACAAACCCAAAAATTGTGAAACCCAGTTTAAAAATTACAAAATTCTCTCCTATAAATTAGGAGCACTTCCTATAAAAGATATAGTCTGGTCTTCAGGGCTCAAAGACAGGTATTTTGAACTAGACTGGCTCAAAATACAAGAGTAGGTATGTGACTAGAAGTTCTCTAACGTTGGGTTGAATTGGTTAAATTCCACAGAGCCTCCGGAGAGTTATTTGAATCTTAACTCTGTGGCTTTGAGTGGAGTGTGTCTCTACTGTCTCTCTCACTCTTGCAGAACACATTTCAAGCAGGAACTGTGAGGATTTCAGTGGCTTCCCTTGGAGACTCTCAAACATAATGTGTTTTGGGTTGTGGCAGTCTCTTGGTTGATCAAAAGGAAGGAAAGTATTTTTCTGACATGTGAAACACTTTTTTTTCCAAAAAAGACTGCCTGAATTATTGCTAGCTGACAAGATCTGTACCTTTTTGAGGATTGACACTTTGAGATCAGTGTACAAAACCAAATAATCCCTTCTCAGTGTGACACTCTGACCAACTTGTGCAAAGTTTCCTCTACATTCAACTGCCAGATACGGTGGAAACCTGAAATTCTCAGGTGTATAGAAGCTCGAAGGTTTTTTTTTGGTTCCTTTTTATGGAACTGAGATGCTTCTCCTTTTTGGCAATTCCTATCCCATCTCCCGCTAAGAACGAAAGTTGACTGTGTTGATGTTCAGCCTTACCCCACATGTATGACATGCGAATGGTAAATGGTGCTGTATCACCATCTCCTTTTGAGAACTTGTCAATGTTGGCACTTCAAAAAAAATGCTTGTAAAGTTAGTGTTACGTTTATAAGCAGTAAAATAAGAACCTAATAAATATGCAGTTTGCAGGTGTTTCTAAAGCAAATGTCCCTTCTGTAAACCTTGTAATGCATGAACAGTTCAGAATGTATTCAATAAGCCATTGTCTACTGCTGAGACCTGGGTTACTTCAATTGGAGTTCAGTTTTTTTTTGTTTCTCCCCGCTCCAATTCTTAATTTGTGAGATCTGCAGAAGTGAAAAGTCATGGTTCTCTTTGTAGACATGGTTGTGTTCACTTTGTTGTTAGGACTCGAACATAATTCTTTCATCCCTAATGTCCCAGTCATTTTTGCTCCTAAAATAACCAACTTCAGTACTTTTCCTTGAGTTCACAAGCAATGGGTGTAATTTGAAGTTGGGTATCTTGCCCGTGAATAAGCAGCAGAGATCGGACATTCACGCGGACATGTGGCTAGGGATGGTGCTGTTCCTATTGGTCAGGGGAATGGGAGGATGAGTGAGTGAAAGGTCCCAAGAGTACAAACCTGGAGATTCTTTTCTGATTCTGACTGCTGATGTGTGAACTCCATGAAGATCAGCCTCCCATCTACAACAACATGGACACTGTACAGTGCCACAAAAGACCACTATTCAAACGTCCTGCTGAATATTAAGCAGTATGTGAAGGAAGATATTCTAATCACTGCAGGTTAATTGTGTTTATTTTCTAAATACTACACACTATCGCCTTGTATCTCACTGCTACTGCAAATAAATGGATTTGTTTTAGCCAGTACATCTCGGTCTGAGTGTGTGATGCTTTTCCCCCCTTAGAGACAAATGTACTGGGCATGCAGTAAGTTCTCCACAACTCACAGGCACCAGTTTAGCGTAACGGCACAGTTTTCACTCCGATTCTGTCTGATGTGAGAAAAACCTGAACTGCAACGGCCTCTTTTATCATTCTATTTTGTAAAACCAATAAAAAACACGATCACTTTGTTCACTGAAAGACCCACAGTGATGAAGCTTCTGATTTAAATAACAAATCTGACTATTTTGCAGGGGGAGAAAAGGGAAAATATTTACCAGCAATAAAAGCATGCACCTCATAAAGAGGATGGTCATTTATCTGATAAGGTCATTTGCAGCCTTGTTATTTTCAGTGTATGATTTCAGTAACATACACCCACAAGCTCCTTGGATTACTCATGTGCTTGTAGATTTGTTTTGTATTTGCTAAATTGGTTAGGTTAATTTGTACTGGGATTATTTGTTTAGTGATGAACTTGTCTCTAGGAATAATAATATCAAAATTCTGATTATAGAAGATAGGAAGCAAATCACTCATGACTCAAATGTCTTCATACGCTTGTTTTTTTTTAAAAAACGTAGCACTGGTGTTCCTTGGCTTTAGGACATCCCAAAGTGTTTTACAACTCATGAAGTAATATAGAAAATAGGAACAGGAGTAGGCCATTTGGCCCTTCAAGTCTGCTCTGCCATTCAATATATTTGTGGCTGATCATCCTACTTTGCTCCTGGTTTTGTCCCTACCTTTTGATGCCTTTAGCCTAAGAACTATATCTAACTCCTTGAAAACATCTAATGTTTTGGCTTCAACTGCTTTCTGTGGCAGAGAATTCCACTCTAGAGTACAGACAATTTCTCCTCCTCCTCCGTTCTAAATGACCCACCCCATATCTTTAGGCCGTGACCCCCGGTTCAGGACTGTCCAGTCAATGGTAATATCCTATGTTTATCCTCTTTAGTCTGGTCAGAGTTTTATAGGTTTCTGAGATATCTTTCCCCTTCATTCTTCGAAAATCCAGTGAACGGATCCAGTCTTCTCTTTCTATTTGAAACAGAGACTGAATGCTGTAACTAATGAGGAAATTTTGACTTAACACAGATTCCACCCTTACTATGCTCTTCTGCTTTACTGCAGGTAGCTTGATGAGAATGAAATAGGTTGGGGGATTGGTTTGTCCACTTTTGGGGTATTGCGTGCAATTCTGGTCTCACAGAAGGATGCTGTGAAACAAGAAAGAGTTCAGAAAAGATTTAGGAGGAAGGTGCCAGGATTGGAGGGTTTGAGCTATTGGGAGAGGCTGAATAGGCTGAGGCTATTTTCCCTGGAGCAACAGATGCTGAGAGGTGACTTTATAGAAGTTTTATAAAATCATGAGGGCGATGGATAGGGTAAACAGGCAAAGTCTTTTCCCTAGGGTGCGGGAGTCCAAAACTTAGAAGGCATAGGTTTAAGGTGAAAGGGGAAACATAAAAGGGACTAAGGGGCAACTTTTCATGCAGAGGGTGGTGCGCGTATGGGATGAGCTGCCAGAGGAAGGGTTTAGAGGGATATGGGCCAAATGGGACTAGATTTATACAGGATATCTGGTCAGCATAGATGAGTTGGATTGAAGAGTCTATTTCTGTGCTGCATATCTCTATTAGGATTGCAGAGAGCAGGGCAGCACGGTGGCTTAGTGGTTAGCACTGCTGCCTCATAGCACCAGGGACCCGGGTTCGATTCCACCCTTGGGTGACTGTCTGTGTGGAGTTTGCACGTCCTCCCATTGTCTGCATGGGTTTCCTCCGGGTGCTCCAGTTTCCTCCCACAATCCAAAGATGTGCAGGCTAGGTGGACTAGCCATACTTAAAGTGCCCACAGTGTGTAGATTAGGTTGGTTATAGGGTATGGGTTTGGGTGGGATGCTGTGAGGGTTGGATAGACTTGTTGGGCTGGAGGGCCTGTTTCCACACTGTAGGGATTCTGTGAAAAGAGCATAGATACTGACAGACTAACTGTGTTGGTGCAAGTAAATTCTGTGTAACATTCTGTCCAATATCAGTTTGCCTCTGTAGTACCCAAACATGCCACTGGATGACATTAGGAGATTTAAAGACTGCACACTCATCATAGCAATGCAACAGTAAATCTGTACCCAGTTAGAAACTGTTTCTCTCTGAGAGCATAACAATACTAAATGGCAATTAAAGAGGAAAGGCCAATAGAAAGAAAAGTCTGCCGGGATTACTTTTTGTTAATGTTTTCCTATTTCTTTTTAGACATCTCCAAGATGTCTTGCATTTTTTTTTACATGGAGGTCCACCCACCAAAGTGAGGACTAACCATTATAATAAAATGAAGAATTGCAGATGCTGGAAATCTGAAACACGCAAAAACAAAAATTACTGGAGAAACTCAGCAGGTTGGCCAGCATCTCGATGAGAAAGCAGAGTTAACGTTTCAAGTCCTGTGATGATTCTTCAAAGCACTTCTGAAGATGGGTTGCTTGGCTCAAAATGTTAACTCCGGCAGCATCTGTGGAGTGAAAACAGACTTGCTGAGTTTCTCCCGTAATTTCTGTTTTTGAGTTTGAGGGGGTCACCATTTCTGAATAACTCTGGTAATGTTACAAATAGCAGCTGTTCCCCTGGGAAATAGCTGATCGAGAGCTACTGGCTGAGCATTCATTAACATCAGGAATGTTTTTTTTGTGATCCAAATTACATTAATCATTACAACACTGATTTCTCAGCAATAAAAGGTTCGTAGCAGGACCACTTGGGCATGTGAATGTCCATGAACCAGTCCTTTGCAATAGTTTTGAACAATATAATATTGTAAAACACAGATGTTTATTTCTAATACAACCACCTTTAATTTAAACCAAGCTACACACCAGAATTTACAATTATTAGCATATGTTTTAAAATGAGTAACCTCCCTTATAAATTCCAAGTTACCACAGTGCCTGCAGCCTGAGGTGAGTGTGGCCGTATGTGTGTTTGGGGTAGCTGTCACCCATTTATGTCCAACCCGTTGACAACATGGTCAAGATTGCAACCAAGCTGTGTGAGAATCGTGGCTTTGAATGCATGTCAATATACCACTGCACACAGTGTTACATCAACAGTGCAACCACTTCCATTTTTTTTAAATGTAACAATCTGTAAAGTAGTTTTCAAACAACTTATTTTACAATTGTTAAGGTAAGAAAATCTGCCAAGCAGAAACTACAGTACAATTTCACAGATTCAGGCAATGGGAGACCTGAGTTTAACTCAAGCAAGTGGATGAGTTTTGAATGGGTTAAAAATTGGGTGGGCCCTGGAATTTTGCAGAGGTTGTGTTCTAAAGCATAACTTTACTGGATTGTAAAAAAAACCCATTACTTAATAGAAAGCCAACTGGCCACCAAGAAATCTATAGGTAATTGCATTTTCTACCTACGACACTGAACTCTTTAAAGAGAAGGGAAAGAAAAGATATGAATAGTTATTCTGCAGAGCCCATTATGTAGTAAGATAACACTTATACTTCTGGTTGAGTACACATGTCCTTGTAGACTGTTGCCATGGCAGTGCAGGTCTGTTTAAGTTCAGACTCTAAACATCTGACCCTATCGAGGATGTTCAACAGCTCCTGCAGCGTGTCCTCAATCAATTTGTTCTCACTACTGTAGATTTCAAACAATCCTTCTTCTATCTTCTTCGAGAATTCTGAAACCTTAAGAAATTACAAGGCGTTATATCCTTTCCCTGATTTTCTCCCAGTCAACCCTTAAAGTCAAAGCTTTGGTTTTGCTGCAGCCCACGTGTACCCCTAACTCATGTAGAAACATAGAAAATAGGTGCAGAAGTAGGCCATTCAATACGATCATCGCTGATCATGCATCCCATTCCCACCCTCTCTCCATATCCCTTGATCCCTTTAGCTGCAAGGGTCACATCCAGCTCCATCTTGAATATATCTAATGAATTGGCCCTGACAGCTTCCTGTGGGAGATAATTCCACAGTTTCACGACTCTCTGAGTGAAGAAATTCTTCCTCATCTCAGTCCTGAATGGCCTACCCCTTATTCTTAGACTGTGACCCCTAGTTCTGGACTTCCCCAACATGGGAACATTCTTCCCGTATCTAGCCTGTCCAGTCCCATCAGGATTTTAGATGTTTCTATGAGATCCCCCCCATCATTCTTCTAAATTCCAGCAAATACAAGCCCAGTTGATCCAGTCATTCCTCATGTGTCAGTCCTGCCATCCCAGGAATTAGTCTGGCAAACCTTCGCTGAACTCCCTCAATAGCAAGAATGTCCTTCCTCACACTTGGAGACCAAAACCACACACAATACTCAAGGTGTGGTCTCACCAATGCCCTGTATAACTACAGCAAGGCATCTTTACTCTGATACTCAAATTCTCTGGGTATGAAGGTCAGCATGCCATTAGCTTTCCTCACTGCCTGCTGCACCTGCGTGCCAACCTTCAGCGATTGTTCCACCATAACACCTAGGTCTCGTTGCACCTCACTTTTTTGTGGCTAAAGTGGATAACCTCACATTTATCCACATTATGTTGCATTTGCCTATTATTTGCCCACTCAGCCAGTCTGTCCAAGTCACCCTGCAACCTCTTAGCATCCTTCCCAAAGCACATACTGCCACCCAGCTTAGTGACATCTGCACTTTTGGAGATATTCCATTCGCTTCCTTCGTCCAAATCGTTAATGTATATTGTTAACAGCTGAGGTCCCAGCACTGCAACCTGTGGTACCCCACTTATCACTGCCTGCCATTTATTGCAGCTCTCTGCTTCCTATCTGCCAACCAGTTCTCTATCCATGTCAATACATTACCTCCGATACCACGGGCTTTAATTTTCCTTCCTAATCTCTTAAGTGGAACCTTGTCAAGAACCTTTTGAAAGTCCAGATAAACAACACCTACTGATTCACTCTTGTCCATTCTACTGGTCACATCCTAAAAAAATTCCAGAAGATTTGTCAAG